AAAGAAAGGAAATCCTGAGTGTAAACACGGCGCTTTTATACTTGCGCATTTTTTCACTCTCAGGACCTAAGGACAGCCACTCCATGTGTCAGTGAGGGTTCCATCAGAGAAACAGTCACTAATATACACACACACACACACACACATATACATACATACATACAATACACATATATATGGAGACTTATTTATACATTTATTTGTATATACATGATGTAATGGAATAGTGTGTATATATATATATATATATGGAGATTTATTTCAAGGAATTGGTTTATGTGATTGTGGGTGCTGTAAAGTCTGACATTGGAAGGGCAGACTGGAAACTCAGGTAGGAGTTGAAGCTGAAGGTGCTATTTTGCTCTTAAAGCCTTTCAACTGATTAGATGAGGCACACCCAGAATATCTAGGGTAGGCTTTACTTAAAGTCAACTGACTGTCATTGTTAACCACATCTACAAAATACCTTCACAGCAATACCTAGATTAGTGTTTGATTGAATAACAGCACTGTAGGCTAGCCAAGTTGACACATAAAACTAGCCATCTCACAAGAAGACTTCTCTAGACTTGAAATCCCAATTATTATTACTTGAGGAAACTTTTTTCCTTTAAGACTTAGTTTTTCAAGGAAAAAAGGAATTACTAAAAAAAAAAGATGCATTTCTTATATTACAAAAGAGTTTTTTCTAATTTTCTTCTAATTCCTTTGCAAATCTAAGTTAATCATACCTCTAAGTGAGGTTGAGAACTTTAAAAAATTAATGAAAAATATGGAACATGTCAGTAGACCAGAAATGAGATACTCAAATCATCTGATTTTTCCTTATCTTGTTTCAAATTAAAAATACCAAAGGTTGGGGCCAGCCCGGTGGCGCAGTGGTTAAGTTTGCACGTTCTGCTTTGGCGGCCTGGGGTTTGCTGGTTTGGATCCTGGGTGTGGACATGGCACCGCTTGGCAAGCCATGCTGTGGTAGGCATCCCACATATGAAGTGGAGGAAGATGGGCACAGATGTTAGCTCAGGGCCAGTCTTCCTCAGCAAAAAAGAGGAAGATTGGCAGCAGATGTTAGCTCAGAGCTAATCTTCCTCAAAAAAAAAAAAAAGAGAAAAAAATTATACCAAAGGCCAATGGGAGAAATTTGATACAGCTAGAAATAAAAAGATTCTAATTTCATAAAATGGAGCTAGCTTACCCATTCTCTTTATTATACAGAACTACCAGAACCCTAAAAATTGGGGGCATTATTGGCAGTCAGAGATAGACAGGATTGACTTTATGAAGATCAAGTTCAGAGAGACAAGTAGAACTCATAATAAGTTCAGGAGAAAATTGCCAAAGAACAGTATGATTGAGGCACTCCCCAAGCAGAATCAACAGATAGAAGATGCAGAAGGAGTTCGGGGGGGCATGATTAAACTCGGGTTAATTCATCTATAGTTGTGCACAAATCTTATCTCAGGGTGTTCAGGCCCACCTCAGCTTCTTTGAGAATAGAGAACTGAGCAACTGAAAAGAGGCTGTGCTGCTTTAAGTGGAGAAGCGTCTCAGCCCTCAGGTGGAGTCGTTTCCTGCCCTGTGATAAAGCTTACCTGGGCGTGCTCCACCCTCACTACCACAGGCCTACGGGCACCTTCAGATCAGCATGGTGAGTGGCTACGGTGCTTGTATATTGTTGACAGTGTTGCTTCGGTGTCATAGCAAATTTTACTCATCATCTTTGACCCTTTTCCCCACCAAAGTCTTAGTAGATTCTTAATACGAGAGAAGAAATTTTAAGGCACCTTTGTTTCTTTCAATATCCATGTTTGAAGTGGGTTTGGATGAGCTCTCCTGTGTTCATCTGTGGTTTGGCTGCTTTTAGGAAAAGCTCAGTTGATTGGCAGTTGTCCCTGCCTTTACTTGCAGCCCTGAGGCAAACATCTCTCCCTCCTTTAGTTTTACGTTTGTTTTAGACCTGCTGTGCTGATTTTTCCGTAGAACTCAGTTGCTTCGGTTTCAGTTGTGCTTTCAGAGTTTCTGGGGACTTCAGACCCAGGTTCCATTGCTAAACTCATAAATGCATGGCTGGGTAAAGTCCACAGACTTCTTCTTAGTCCTGTCTTGAGTTTAGTTCCTTGGGGGTGATAAGGAATATGGTTATTTACAATGATTCTGTTTGGGGTCAACCTTTTAAGCTCCACTTTCCCTTTAATCTCTTATGTGCCACTCACGGTAAGTTTTAGTATCTTAGAATTTTTAATTCTTAAATGGAAACAGCCTCTCCAACTGCTTTTTCATCTTTGATCTCTCCCCGTTGGAGTCTCTCTCCAACATTTTAAGGATGTACAAATGGTTTTGCTCTTTTTGTTTGTTTGTTTTGAGGAAGATCAGCCCTGAGCTAACTGCTGCCAATCCTCCTCTTTTTGTGGAGGAAGACTGGCCCTGAGCTAACATCCATGCCCATCTTCCTCTACTTTATATGTGGGACGCCTACCACAGCATGGTGTGCCAAGCGGTGCCATGTCCACACCCGGGAACCGACCTGGCGAACCCCAGGCCGCTGAAGCGGAGTGTGCGCACTTAACCGCTGTGCCACCGGGCCGGCCCCTGGTTTTGCTCTTGAAAATTATGCCTCCCTACATGGAGGATCCTTGTGGTATGGAAAGGTTCTATGTCTTGACTGTATATATTTTGGTATTCTGGCTGTGATATTGTACTAGAGTCTTGAAAGATATTTCCATTGGGGAAAATGGGTAAAGAGTACATGAGATCTTTATTATTTCTTACAACTGCTTGTGAATCTACAATTCATATTTATCTCAAAATAAAAAGTTAATTAGAAAATTATGCCTTCCTAGTAATTCAAATAAACTTTGTAGCAGCATTTATTAACATGCTGTGACTTACCATTATTGATATTCAGTGGGTATTTTACAGTCTTATTTTATAGTGGGACTAATATTTTAACAGATAGTTTGGGGAGTAAGGAAAGGCTAAGAGATAAATAAGGTGAAGGTAGCCTTCTGTACCCTGGAACACAGTCATGTTACAAACTAACTCAGCTGTTTCTCAAACCAGGAAGGGCAAGATTGGTCCTTCTTGAGCCAAGTATTCCTGCCGAGTTCCAAAAGGACTCTTATGTCTGAACCACTTGGGTAACAGACCACATGAAGAGCAGCAATTGTTTTTATTGGTGATTATTATTACCGTGATTATTGTGAGCAAATGCCACGTGTGCATCCCACACGGACTGGGTGGTAAATAGCTGAGGAGGGATGTTGTGAGGGAAATCTACATGTAAGTGATTTTAATGATGTAAAAACAGTGAATTTCCCATCTCTTTTAAATTTTTCCATAAATCTAGGGATTTAGGTAAGTTTTGATCTGATCATGGTAGCTAATGTCCTGAGACCATTTTAAGTCCAGCAGGAGGGGAGAGGGACGAAACTGCTTTGCAGATAAGGGTGTTAGAAGGCTATTTATGATGGAATACGTTGACTTGATTTTTATGTGCCTGATAGAGGTTGGAATATTTGTTGGACTAAGTGAAGGGCTTTCTAAATTGAGCTCACAGCCTTTGTCCTGAGAGACCGATAGTTGCACAGAGAAGAAACAAGAGGGAAGTTCTACTCAAGTGGTGAACTTGAATTCCCCGTAAAGTAAAGAGGGCTGTGTCATGCTTTGCGAATCAAGGAGACAAAGTAGAATGGTTTGATGCTACTGAGCAGGAACAGAGTCCAAGTCAGATTGGAGGGGTGTGACCAGCCAGAGCTCCGTCCCCCGCACCCTCCGACAGCGGTCTTTTTGTAATTGAATCTCAGAGCCTGGGAAAGTGCAGCCATGGACAAGGACGAGGTTGCCTATTACCTTATCAGGCAATGAGCTTGAAGGGCCCTGATAATGCAGAAAGCAGGCTTCTCACCCTGTAAGACACCCAGCACAGACTTGTTGTATGACCATTGGCGATCAAAACTCAACAATATTAATATCAGCGGTTGTGGCCCCTTTAGATTTTTAGGATTTAACTTTTTCTTTCCCTCTCTTAGATGAGTAGATATTGTGTCTGTCTAAATTACCAAAAAAGTTGTTTCCCTTTTGGAAAAAAAATGTGAATGATGATTTAAAAATGGGATAGTGGAGCGGAGGCTGATGAGGGTGAGGGAAAACAGGAAAGTTTAAACGAGAAAAACATCGCTTACTGTCCAGATGTAACTAGAGGTAATATTTTGATGCATTTTTAAAGGCTGTTTTCTATGCTTATTTTTAAATATATTTGACATCATACTTTATATGCAATTATGCAAATTATATACACTTTACTTAATATTTTATCATAAGCACTTCCCGTGTCATAAATTATTTTTGGTAAATATTTAAAAGTTGTATAATATGCCGTTGTATTGATGTACCTTTCTTTAAATGCCCAACAAAAGGTAAATAGTTAAGTAGATTGGTTTTTGGTTTTCACTATTATAAATAATAATACTGTGAGTGCTATTCTGCCTAAATCTTTGCATTTTAGATTATTTCTTTCCTTTGTGATTCACTTGTTTATGTAATTTGCCTTTTTATCTAGCAGATGTCTCGAAGTCTTTTTTTTTTTAATTGGTGTATATAAAATTTCTTATATATAGTCCTTACATATGAAAGGCTATATATACGGTAATTCTTACATACATCAGTATTTTTGTTTGTTATGGTATAGAGTTTTTACATTTTGGGGTTGTGAAATCTATTGCATGTTTCCTCCGTAAATTTCCCACACTCTTAAGCTTAGAACATCTTTCCTTATTTAGAGCACATATGAATAGTAAATGTAAAATCTCAAGATATGAAAAGGTGACATCTTTATCAGCAGTGGGTTTTAATATATGTCAAGGCTATACATTGATTTTGGTTTTATTTCTTTCCAATAGCTAGCTAATTTTTTTCTGGGTGAGACAACTTGATTCATTCTTATCCTGTCACCTAATGGGTGCTTAATTTACATTGTTGAAAGAAACCTTTTGATGGAATTGGAGTCCTTGGTTCAGTTGTTCCTAAAGCTTGACTGTACCCTTGTTTTTGCTTTCTGTGAGACACTTGTAATTAGCCTTATAATAGATTTCTCTTGTTGGTTTAAGATAGCTTGGTTTCTGTCAGTTGGTAGCAGAAGTGCTGAGTGACATAGCTCATGGTACCTAAGAAGGCCTGCTCGGTTCTAACTTACCATGGCTTATTTCAGAGGGAGTGCCTTTCCATTCACATTGGCCAAGCTGGCATCCAGATTGGGGATGCTTGTTGGGAACTCTATTGCCTGGAACATGGAATCCAGCCAGATGGTGGTGTTCTCGACAGTAAAAAGGATCAGTTGGAAAATGCTAACGTGGAGCACATGGATGCATCTTTCGATACCTTCTTTTGTGAGACCAGAGCTGGGAAGTATGTGCCCAGAGCGCTCTTCATGGACCTGGAGCCAACCGTTGTAGGTAATGTAAGTTTTCCATTCTGCTTAACCAGGTCCACAATCAAAACAGATAAATTAAGTATCAGTGCGTGGGATTTATCAGATCATATGAATCTCTCTGAACAGGATCATGTGGACCTTTTCCACATAGACAAGGTCACTCAGTGGCCACTTAGGGTGGTGATCAGCGTGACATATGTACCCAAAGGGAAGAGGAGCTTAGCCTTCTTTTTCTGTATGATAAAACGAAGTAAAACCTTGCTGATTTCTCCACACACATCTGTTGTAACAGAACATTAAATCTCTTCCTGGATTTGAAAGCCAGTTGCTAGAAGCTTCTGACAAAAAATCTGAAATTTGGCATTACTTGCTTATAAAGAGTAGTATATTTGAAAATGATTCCAAAGAAGCAAGGAGCCAAATAAGTCTTCAAATTATGGGGAAAATCAGTACAATGTTATGATTATTAATGGCAAACTTTGTAGTATCTTGTGCAAAAACACTTGAAATGGAGCTAGAGAAATGCTGGGGAGAGAAGGGGTCTTACTTAAGAGAAAAGTGGGGGGGGGGACAGAATTTGGGTTTGATACTATGTATCAGTTATTTATTGCTGTGTAATAAACTACCTCCAAATTTAGTGGTTTAAAACAATAGCAGTCATTACTTTGTCCAGTAATCTGCAATTTGTACAGGGTTCAGAGGGAAGAGCTCCTCTCTGCCTCACAGGATGTCAGCTAAGAAGGCTCAAATGACAGCTGGAGGGTCCACTTTCAAAGTGGCTCACTTGCATGGCTGGCAAGTTGATGCTGGCTGTTAGGGGATATGGGCCTCTCTATGGGCTGCTTGTGCTTCCTCACAGAGTGGTGGCTGAGTTCCAAGAGCAAGCATCTCATGAGAACAAGGCAGAAGTCCATGGCATTTTTATAATCAAGACTTGACGGTCACATAGTGTCACTTCAGCTGTTCTCAGTGGGTCAAGGCAGTTACAAGGATCCACTCAGGGAGGGGACATAGACCCAACATCTTGATATGGAAATAGTGAGATGGGAAATATCGTTGTGGCCATCTTGGGAAAATACAATCTGTACATACTGGATTCGGGTTCATTTCCTTATCAGAACAAAGTCAGAACCAAGTAAGAAACTGATGGGGAAAATAGATTGATGTCAATGTGAAGGAAAAGATAGAAAGTTTTATTAAAAGGGGGAAGCTAAGAATTGTGGAGGCCATGATGCCTATATATAGATTCAGCATTACTCTGCTAGATGTTGTGAAAGAATTAAAAATAAGGAGGTACTGATGGCTTCAAGAACAGGTAAGACTAGTATGGAGGCTAAAAGAGGCAAATACCTTGTATTCTGACTTGAGTTATAATGGTGCGAAGAGAATATCTGAATTTTTGTTGCAGATAAATAGGAGTTTGCAAGTGTGAGCCCTGGCTGGAGTCTGGTGTCCCAGGAACCTGGGTGGGGTGGAATATGTCCCCAGATGACATTGGTAGCAGAAGGAGCATCATAAGAGGCCATAGCCCAGTACCATGGATATTTGTAGCAGATATTTTAACTCATGCCAAACCAAAGATGCTAGGCAAATAGGAAGTTTAAGGCCCAAGATCAATGGTAAGCAAGTCAGAGGAGAGATAGATAGCAGGCAAAGACCAGAAGAAATGTCCCAATCCTCTAGAACACAGCCTGGATGGAGGGCAATTTTAGGGTCCTGAGCTGGTCAAAACAAAGAGACATAAGCTCCAGGATTTAGGTAGAAGGCACTGATTTTCCTTGTTTTATTCAACAAATAAGAGAGCCTCACATATGCTAGGCACTCTTCTTGACAGTAGTCTTCACGGAGCCTACTTTCTCGTGGGGTGCAGACCTATAAAAACTAAATAGTGTGCCCAATGGCAATCTGCAGTATGGAGAAGAATAAAGAAGGGCCATTGGGGTAGGGAATGTTGTGTGTGGGTGGAGGGGGTTCTTTTTCTAAAGGCATGTCAAGGAAGGCCTTACTGAGAAGGGGACGTGTAGGGATGTGAAAGAAGTGGGGACGTGAGACTTACCTCTCTGGAAGAGATCAGAAAAGACTTTATGGACAAGGTGATATTCCTTCTAAGTCTTGAAGACTGAGTGGGAGGATTTTAAGAGTTCACAGTTGAGGGAAAATGGAAAACATGGACAAAGACACATTCGGATACTTGTGAATATTGTATCAGCTTGAAAATGGGGAGGATGTTGATTTAGGGGAGTCATGAAAGGCTTAAACTGGAATGGAGGCAGACCATGGAACTGCCTTGAATAAGATGCTTGGTGTGAATTTGATAGGAAATAGGGGGCCAGTAATGATTTTAGAGCAGGGGAAAGGCAGATTTAGAGCTATACTTGAGTAATTAATCACAGAGATTTATTCATTAATTTATTCAACATTTATTTAGCACCTGCTGTGTGCTAAGTACTGATCTAGAAAGAGAGAATGGATTGGAGAAAGTTATGAGATTGTTGTAATGTGTGGGCTTCATCTAGGGTTGTGACACTGAGAACGGAAAAGAGAACATTGGCTGATTTGAGAGATGTCTGTTTAAAATAGACAGAGCAACTGATTACAAGTCAGTGAGTATTCCAGAGAGAAGTCAGAGATGCCACCCAGATTTTACTGGTTCACTAATGAGATTGATAAATGAAATAGGAATTCCAGAGGGGGACTCAGTTCTGTAAGAGTAAAAATAAGTTCGGTTTTGGGCATGAGGAATTTCAAGTGTTAGCAGGTTGGTCCCAGGAGAAATTGTGGAACCAGAGGTCTTAAGTGAGAAGTTAGAGGTGCAGAATTATCCAATAGAGATGATGCTGAAAGCTGGGAAAGTGGATGATCTTCCTGACCAAAGTCAGTCTGAGTGGTTTTAGAATAAAGGAAAGATAGGTTTGGGTTACATTTTTCAAGTAGAATTCTATTGATGATATTTGTAGCCAGAAACAAAGGAGAGAGAGTGAGTGAGAGGCGGAGGTATCAGAGAGGGAGGGAGGGATCAGAGGCACTCAGGGAGGGTGAGTTGCTTTGTACATCTCCCTTCTTTCTCTATTTTCTGCGAGGTAGAGGACAGAGGGATTTCGTGGCAAGGAGGGAGGTGTTCATTCAGGCATCCTACGATTGGAATAATGAGGGTGATAGTGTGTGAGAATTTAAAGAGGTTTAGAACACTCATTTTGAGAAATAGAATAGAGGGTCGAAGTGCAGAGTGAAGGGTCTGCTGAGTGTCGGTTCGAAGGGGACCCAGAGAGCAAAGTTCCTGCCTGTCTGCAGCTGCACGGGAGTGGATGGTGGTGCTTAGTCAGGCTTGCATATGAGGTAGGGACAGGGCGAGGAGGGCTCTGCGCTGGCAGTGCCCCTGTGGCTCTGATCGTGGAACCAGGCTGTGTGAGGAGTCAAATGAAAATAATGTGAAGGGAGGTGGAAAAAAGAAAAGGCTGAGAGATTCAAGGTCATGATGAGCAAGAATTTAACATACTCCAATAAGCATCTACTTCAGCAAGGTGATGGGAGTATAAAGATGAATAAACACTGATCCCTTCCCTCCTACTGTCTTAGTCAATTCAGGCTGTTTTAACAAAATATTGTAGACTGAGTGGCTTAAACAGAAATTTATGTCTCCCAGTTATGGAAGCTGGAAGTCCAAGATTAGGGTGGCATCATGGTCGGTTTCTGGTGAGAGCCTTCTTCCTGCTTTGCAGATGGCACCTTCTTGCTGTGTCTGCACATGAGAGAGAGAGGGGGGGAGATCATCTCTCTGGCCTCTTCTTATAAGGGTTCTAATCCCATTCGTAAAGGCACCACTTTCATGTCCTAAGGCCTCACCTCCAAATACCATCATATTGGAGATTAGGGCTTCAACATTTCAACATGTGAATTTGGAGGAGACACAAACTTCCAGTCCATAGCAGCTACTATTTATTAGTTGAGGAGCTGCACAGATATTTCCCTTTAATCTTTTCAGCAACTCTATTATCCTTAATTTGTAGACGAGGAAACTGAGTCTTGGGGATGTTAAGGAACTTGCCTTAGATCATCGAGTTATTGAGGGTAGAACTGGTTTTGATCCCAGGTTTGCCTTCTCATAAAAGCCATTCTCTTAAAAAGAGAAAAGCAGGATAATTTAGTGGAGAAGAAAATGTAAATAATTATCACAACACTAATAAATGTATTAAGTTGAGCCATATAAAATTGCCACATAAAGTTGCCAATAGATGACCATTTTTCATCTAAAAAGGTGAATTTCATATAATGCAACTTAATAATAACAGAAATTTCTGCAAGGTGCAAGGGTATTACTGAGGAAGGAATGATTGACTGGGGGTCATCAAACGACTCCTGTGAGGGAGCAGCATTAGTAAATTCACAGAGGGAGGAGGGACCTTTAACAGGAGCTCAGTGAGGCTGGAACTTAGGGTGTGAGTAGGAGAGCAATGGGAGAGGAGGCTGGAAAGATCATCAGGGCTAGTCATGGGCCCAGGTTGGGGGAAGTAAGGAAGTGTGGTCAGAGAAGGGATTTTGCAAGTGTGAGATTTTGGGGCGGAGAGTTGTGAGTGATGGTGACTCAAGTGGAGTGGAGCTGAATGGCATTGAAGGCAAGCAAGCTAAGGAACCGTCAAATAATTGTGTTTAAAAACCATGGAAATCCCTGAGGATGCTGGTTAAGGATGCTGTGCCAGGTGCTGAAGTCAGAGAAAAGTGGAAAAGTGTCAGGAAGTTAGAGTGGATGATTTGGGCATGCTTATGAATGGCGGTGCTATAATCACTGATCCCTGAGAAAGTGGATTTTACTGAAAGAATTTATGGACCTAACTACACTCAAGGTCTCAACTGGACATTGTCATGAAGAAGCAGGTTTCCATAAATTCCAGAAATTCCTTCCTTACCCTGAACTCAGCCTTACAGCTTCAGGTGAGAAGCATAGTCTACCCAGAATTATATGCCCTCTTATATCCTGTTTATATATTTATCTTTTAAAAATCCCAACTTTTCTGTTTTTTTTTTTTTTTGGTGTGTATATGTTAGTTAAAAATAATTTAAACTCAATTTTAGTAAATTTAAACATTGTGGTTTAGAAATTCATTGTCATATACAGGAGAGCAAGGTGAATTGAGAGAACCATCTTGCTTTTAGAAAATTAGTGCATTTTTCCTTAGGTAGTGAACTTCTAGGACTAACTATAGGTATCTGGTGCCAATGAAGTAAATCTGCGTACATACATGTCATGAGGCCAATTTTATCAGTATTATTTATAATTGTTGTTATCTGGGGCCTGCATCATGCCCTATGACCTCATTTAATCCTCATGGTAACTCAGTGGGGTAGGTCTTCTTATCATCCTTACTAGTGAGATGAAGTAACTGAAGCTTAGAGAACTAGGCAAGTGCTCTATGGCTAAGAGGGGAAGGCAAGATGTGAGCCCAGGAAATTGATTCTTGAACACATGCTCTTTACTATGCAGTGTAACCGGGACAACATTCCACAGCCTGCTTAGCCCTCAAACACCACTGCATAATTCTTCAGGAATTGTGCTATCTGGGTAATTCTGAGGTCGGGGTAGTGGGGCATGGGCCTCAGACATGCTGTGTGTTGATGTTTTCTCGTGCTGCCCAGGGTTTTAAAAGCCAGTGAAACCAGGCAAGGCTTGCACTTGGTTGTATTGAACACTGCCGACATCTACACACTGATTTCCCTGCTTCACACGTTTGTACGTTTGAATTGTCTGGGCCTTTGAGTTGGCCATGCCTTGTTTGTTAAAGCCTCTTTTAAAACACACTACTAATAATTTACGTTGGCATGCTTTTCCAGCACACAGTTGGCTATTTGTAGATAGAGATACTTGTCCTAAAATGTCAAAGTGCCACAGGGTGTGTGGTAGGTTGAATAGTGTCTCCCAAAAATCTGTGTCTGCCTAGAACCCCAGAATATGATTTATTTGGAAATAGGGTCTTTGCAGATGTACTTAGTTAAGATGAGGTCATACTGGATTAGGGTAGGCCCTAAATCCAATGATCTGTGTCCTTAGAAGAAGAAGAGAGGACACATAGACAGGGGAAAAGGGCATGTATGATGGAGGCAGAGACTGGAATGATGCAGCTATAAGCCAAGGAGCTCTAAGAAGTGTCAGCAGTCACCAGAAGCAGTCACGAGAGACAGGCGTGGAGCAGTTTCTCCCTCGGAGCTTCCACAAGGAACCAACCCTGCCAACACCTTGATTTTGGCCTTTTAAACTTTTAGAGAATAAATTTCTCTCATTTTAAACCAACAGGTTTGTTGTAATTTGTTACAGCAGCCCTAAAAAACTAACAAAGAGTGTTTGATGGAAAAACCTACTTTTAATTTATATGAAAATAATAATACCTCTTTCTAGAGTAAGGAAGGCCAATTCAGCACAATTCCTTTACCACAACACCGGGGAAAGTATGGGGATCGGAGCACAGGGCTGTGCGAGAATTAGCCGAGGGTTAGCAGTTGAATGCAGTGGAGCGCACTGACCTCCTTTCCCCTCTGCAGATGGGATCCGTACAGGCAAGTACCGCTCACTCTTCCACCCAGAGCAGCTTGTTAGTGGAAAGGAAGATGCTGCAAACAACTACGCCCGAGGTCACTACTCTGTGGGGTCGGAGATCATCGACCTTGTGCTAGAGAGGATCCGAAAGCTGGCAAGTGGCTCACTTCTCCTTAGATGGGGCCAGGCCTGTGTGCCTGGGATCCTGCGGGACACCTCCCAAGCATCACCAGCATTGTCTACCACCAACATCATCACCACCCAGCCTCTCACCTGGGGACCTCCTGTGGATGCTCAGACCTGGGAAGTGTCCTGATGTTGGCTTTGATTACGCTTTCCATAGGAAGGGCAAAAGAAGCTTTCATAGTTACTGTATAGCCCTTGTCTACTCTTTGTTTTTTTTTAGATTTATAAGGAAATGTTTTGTTTTATTTTTCCCCTGCTTTGTTGAGATATAATTTACATATAACATTGTGTAAATTTAAGGTGTACAGTGTGATGATTTGTTACATGTATATATTGCAAAATGATTACTGCAATAAGGATAGTTAACACATCTACCCCCTCACATAATTACATTTTTTTGGTAGTGACAACATTTCAGGCCTACTTTCTTAGCAGCTTTCAAATATGCAATACAGTATTGTTAACTATAGTCACCATGCTGTACATTAGATCCCCAGAACTTACTAATTTTCTAACTGAAAGTTTCTGCCCTTTGACCAATGTCTCTCCATTTACTCCACCACCCAGCCCCTGGCAACTACTGTTCTACTCTCTGTTTCTATGAATTTGGCTTTTTTAGATTCCACGTTTAAGAGAGATCATACAGTATTTGTCCTTCTCTGTCTAACTTATTTCACTTAACATAATTCCCTCAAGTTTCATCTATGTTGTCAAAAATGGCAGGATTTCCTCCCTTTAATAATTAGCCTCCATCTACTCTTGCTTCGGCTAACTCATGGTTTGTCTTATCAGAGACTTCCAAAGCATTGTACACTTGTCATTTTTGATAGTACCACTATTTGTGAAGTTAACAGGAAGTACATCCTACCTGGAGATTAGTTACTCTATTTACTGACAGTTAATTCTTCTTTAAGGACTTGTGTCTGGAGAATCCTTTGTTTAGCCAATGTTTTGGTGTTTGGCATAATCATTAGGTAATACACTACCTTTAGACCCCCCATAGTAGATTGGATGCTTCATCTGTTGTGGGGCGGCGGGGGGGGGGGGGGGGGAATTATATTGCTTCAATATTTTGCTAGTCATTTTGTTATTGATAAAGACCTTGCTTTAGATCACATACAAATAAATTCAGGGGGGCAGTGAAAAACAGTTGAATGTTTGTGCTTTCCTTATAGTAAAATTCTATAGTGCTTCCCGCACTCCAGAAGTAACCATTCAAGTATGTTTCAAAGTAGATAGATTTGTTGCGGAGTTAATAATGGTAAACCAGTCCTGTCTGAAAGTTTTTGCTTGTTTTTGCGAACTTGATCCCACCATGACCACTGCTTCTGGGTTTGTTTGGCTGAGTTCTCCCTTATCACTTATTCTCCCCAGGCAGAACAGTGCAGTGGACTTCAAGGATTTTTGATTTTCCGAAGCTTTGGAGGAGGCACTGGCTCAGGATTTACATCTCTGTTAATGGAGCAGCTCTCGATAGAATATAGCAGGAAGACTAAATTGGAGTTCTCTGTCTATCCAGCCCCTAGGATCTCCACTGCTGTCGTAGAGCCTTACAACTCCATCCTCACCACCCATTCCACCATAGAGCACTCAGACTGTTCCTTCATGGTGGACAATGAAGCCATCTTTGACATATGCCATCGTAAACTTGGTGTGGAACGCCCCTCTTACGCCAGCATTAATAGGCTGATAGGTCAAGCTGTATCTTCCATTACTGCATCCCTCCGGTTTAAAGGGCCCTTGAATGTGGACCTAATTGAATTCCAGACCAACCTGGTACCTTATCCGAGAATACATTTCCCCATGACCACCTTTGCCCCCATCATCTCTGCTGACAAAGCCTACCACGAGGAGCTCTCCGTGTCAGACATCACTGCGGCTTGCTTTGAGTTCTCCAACCAGCTGGTCAAGTGTGATCCTCGACTGGGGAAGTACATGGCCTGCTGCCTACTCTACAGAGGGGATGTGGTCCCTAAGGATGTGAATGCAGCGATTGCAGCCATGAAGTCAAGGAACTCTGTTCGGTTTGTAGATTGGTGTCCAACTGGTTTCAAGGTAGGCATCAACAATCAACCCCCCGTGGCGATGCCAGGAGGGGACCTGGCCAAGGTCCAGAGGGCTGTCTGCATGCTGAGCAACACCACAGCAATTGTGGAGGCGTGGGCCCGCCTGGACCACAAGTTTGACCTCATGTATGCCAAGAGGGCATTTCTACATTGGTACATCAGAGAAGGCATGGAAGAAGGCGAGTTCTCAGAAGCCAGGGAAGATTTGGCAGCCCTGGAGAAGGATTATGAAGAAGTGGGGCAAAGTTTCTGATGCAAATATGACTGGTGAAAATGACTGTTAAGTTGAGGTGTCATGCTTTCTTTTCAAGACGTTATACACTTAGTGGGTAGAGTTCCCTTGATGAGAAGAAAAAGGAAATCAAATCAAGCAAGACCTGAAGTCCCAAACTGAATCAAACGGGTCAATATTAGCAATGATCACATGCTTCCTTGTCCGTTTTGTAATTCAGCCTGCTACCTGGGAACCTTCTCAGGCTCGCAGTCCTTTGAACTTCTGGATCCTGTCTATGTTGGTTTTTTTTTTTGTCGGATGGCAACTTGGATTTATTCTTTGCTTTCTAAACCGAGAGACTGTGAAACGCTAACGTTAATGCTTTCTCCTTCTTGTACCTGAGGTGGAAGCACATATTGATTATTGTTATGTCTCCATGTTTATATTTTTTACATTGATCAAATAATAAATATTTTCAGTATGACTCTTTTCCTTCTTCCAAATATGGGCCTTAAGGTCTCAGTTTGCTTTTTATACAGACAAACAAACAAACAAACAAACAAACGAAAAACAAGAATATTCTTGAGTCTTTCAAAAATTTGAATCTATGTGTCCTGCAGCTCAGAAGATGAAAGTGGTCTCTTTCAGCTCCCCTGTGCTTGAGGAGGTGTTCTCAAAGTGTGGTCAGCAGAACCCTGCATCAGAACCGTTTAAGAGGTTTAGAAAACTCGCAGATTCTTGAACTTCACTACGGTCTTGCTAAATGAGAAGCCCTGGGGATTGCAGGAGGTGTGACCTGAGGATTTGAAAGTTTAAAAAACACTTAAAGGAACTAATTTTTGGTATTAAACTGTCCCATTTTCAAACATGTTAATAATTTAAAATGGACAAAACAGCTATAAATACGTTAAAACCACTAGCCAGATTTTTAAAATCCATGATGTCTAGATTGACTAATAGTTGGAATTAAGGTGAACTAGCTACTGCAAAGATGCTCACGTAGGCTTAGGTTGCTCTTAAGTTGATGGTAGATAGTTTTCAGATGCCTCATTCATCTATAGTGTTGACCTTTCAGCCTTAGTCCTCCACTTATACTCTCTTTTGGCCCAGCATGGTCAGTGCTTTTGGTCCAGCTAGACATCTAAGGCAGTGGGCTCTAAAGTCTTGACAGGAGGCAAAAAGTTGTGTGTCCTCTTGTGAAATATACCAGACTACAACACTACCACCTTCTTGCATGGGCAACCTGGACCCCAGAACTGGCACTCCATCTTTAACAGTTCCTTTGTAGATGCTTTTTTTGTACTAGAATCACTGCCCTGAGAAGTGGCCTTCAAGAGCTCAACTCAAGCAATATATATTTTTTTGCCTGTTTTCAATTCAAACCGTTGTCACCATGGAGGTCAATGATCACAGTTTGGTGGAAATGATATTTAGATACCCTTCAATGCCTGTGAAGGTTTGGTTTTCTAGCCCATTCACCTATCAGTGAGTTGTTGCTCAGTCCTCAAGTCTCTAAGTATTTGGCTGGATCCCCTTTATAATCTACTTCCAAGGCCTCTGCCAAGGGCTTTGTCTATGCCGACACTAAAACAGCTTTGTACCGGAGTTCCCTTTGGAATCTGAGACCTGTTTTTCCTAAGATATGCCAGGACTCCCAGTATGGTAACAGGGAAAGGAATATGATTCTCATTCTCATGTGTCTGACTTGCCATGATCAAACATTTGGAAGAAAGTAAAAAAAAAAAAAAATTTTTCTTCAAATAAAAGGAGTGATTTAGTGAGCCTCACTGCCACTTGACCAGATCCAACATAGACCAATAGTGGACTGTCTGGCTCTTTAAATGTGGAAGAAAATCTCTTCAATGATTGAAGGAGCCTATGCTAGTGTCCAAATTACTAGGGGGCTCTATTTTTCAATTAACCAATGTCTCTCAGATTTGCATTTCAAAATCATATCTGTCTTATTGAGTAGTAAATAAAGCTATTTGGTGAACTAAATACTATGGACGTTTCCCATACTTGTGAACTTTAGGATTAGGTCTCCTAAAGAGTAGTCATCAAGACTCGAATAGCTTTCTTTAGGCTGTTTTCTTTTAATCAAATTTATCACCATAAAATGGTAATGAATAACAAGGAAGAAATATTTAACTAGATATTAGGAATGATGGATCCAAGTCATGGCACTGTTACAATTATATGATCTTGTACCTAGCTTCTCCATACCTTAAATTCCTCATCCTGGACAAGGTTATTTCTAGGGCCCTTTCTAGTTCCAAGATTTTGTGAGTCTAAGAATTGATTAACTTGCGATGCTATTTGCCTCTACATACCATACATAAATATTAGATTTACCAAGTATTTTTCTTTATAATTTATGTATTCTCTCAATTAGCTCATTAAACAGTCACTATTTTTAAAAAATTCTTTTAGTGGATACCCTAGCAATTACAATATTCGATCTTGACTTATTAGCATCTACCATGCCTTCGTGGTTTTACCACTTCCTGGACAATGAAAAGACCATAGAACACTTCAACTTCATTTACTGTCCTCCTGCCTTTGGTGTATTGTTACTCTGTATTTCAATGACACATACATTTTACTCCCACAAGACGCTGGTTATTGTTTTAAACAGTAGGTGTTTGCTTAGATTTACCCTCATGGTCATCCTTTCTGGTACTCTTCATCCCTTCTTGTATTATCATACTTCCATCTGGGATCATTTTCATTCTGACAAAATAACTCCCTTTACTATTCTTTTAATGTAGATATGGGGTTGAGAGGGAATGATATTTTCCTATTTTTTCTCAAAGAGTGAGATCATGATTGAACTAACTCTGAGGACTCTAAGTGCTAATTAAATGTGATCTTGAGGCAAGGACTATCTTATTCATCTGTGCATCTGCAGTGTCAGGCCTAGAGTAGGTACTCAAATATTTATTAAATTGAAAAGCTCCAGGAAATGACCTGATTTCCTACTTTATTGAAATCACATCCATCTGACTTTAACTTCTTAAATTCCTCTTCGATCTCCCCCTTAAAATTACTCTGAATCTTGATATATCCTCTACTATCCCAGAGGAAAAATGCTCTCCTTTCCAAGCCCGTTTATTATTTTTGCACCTTCTCCCCTTGGCACTTATTTTCTAGAAGACTTTGCCCCTTCAATCTCCCTTGAATATTCTGTCTCTCTTTCTCCATTGTTTTTTTTTTTCTTTTTTCCTACTTACAAGTCCAGGTCTCCTCCTCCAAAAAATCAACACCCTTTTCTGGATTCTGCTACTCCCATCTTTCCACTCTCCAACTTGTCAAAAGAATATTCACTGGTGCCTTCACCTCACCTTCTGCTCACTCCTCAACCTTTGTAATTTTGTGTCCTCCCCACCATCCTATGAAATGATTGTCTCAAAGATCACTGATTATACCTTATTTATCAAAACAACGACTTTATTGACCTTCAGCATTTGGTAATTCTTTTTTCTTGAAACTTTCCCATTGATTCCTGTAGCACTACTTGATTCTCCTACATCTGACATTTCTTCTTCTCCATCATCTGCCCATAATGGAGATACCCTGGGTTGTCTTCTCTGCCTGTTGTTTATCTTATTCACAACCACATTAGCTCTACATAAGTAACTATGGAAACTTTTGTTTCCCTTCTCTTTGAGTTTTACTTTCGAATTTCCACCTACTTGCTCGAGCTGTCTTCTCAGATGTATTGCCTACACTTAAATTTAACTTCTTCGAAGAACTACCTCGTTTTCCTCAAAAGAAACCTGCTCTTCCTTTGGTGCTTTCTATCTTGTTTATTTATGTCATCATCTTCCCACTTAGGCAGATTCTAAACAACGCCATCATTTTTGACTTCTCTCTCTTTCTTGCTGTCTACATAGAATCAAGTCCTACCAATTCTACTTCTGTAATGTTTCCAGAATCCATTCCCTTCCTTTTCTTCCCACTGAAGCCATCCTGTCTCAGGTCATCAAATCCTCTCCCCGTAACCAGCACCCTAGCATCTAAATGCGTTTCTGCCTTTCTCTTTGTCATGCTGATCCATCCTGCATGCTACGCTGTGACTGAGCATTCTGAAGCACAGCTTCGATCATTCCCCCCGACACACAGCTCTAGTGACTCCCCACTGTCTTCACCGAAAGGGTGAACTCCTGCACACGACATGCAGAACCCGTCCCAACCAGTTCCAACTGAAATTTCCAGTCCTGTCCTTCACTGTGCTGTCAGGCAGTCCGTTCGGGCTAGGCTGCTCACTATTCCCAGCGCGTATTTCTGTCTCTGCTCTGCCTTCACTCCTCTCACTGCTTTCTCTCTCCTCTCTCTCTGTGACCGTGTGATGTAATTCCCACTCCAAACCTAGTTCAAATGTCACCTGTTCCCTGTAGCCTCTTGGGATTCTTCCTTGTGCTCTCCATGAGTTACCAGAGCCATCTATATCATCCCGTTTACTCCCACCCCAGGATTTATGGATAGTTGAGATACTACGAAATCTCTCACTATATTGAAAGTATTGTAGTAAATACTCATTGATGAGAATTTTTTTTCCTGTGCGTATCTTACATAGTGCTTTGAACTTTTATTAGGCTTTTACTAAATATTTAAAAATTTTCTTTAGTGTACATGTGCTGTTTCTCTCTTCAGACACTGGAGGGCACTAATGAAATGCTTAAATAACTGCTCAGTTCATGAGTTTTTGGTGTTCGGAAGGGCATTGTGTATTTGTGTGTATGTGTCTGTGCATGTGTGTGCATTCACACATCCAGAAAAGGCTATTTAGAGGTTTTCTTTTGTTTTTAAAAGTTAACAATCTACTAAAATGAAGATAAACAGCGTAGTTACTCTTAAACATTTAAGTTCAGATTGTGAATCTTATTATTTCTAAGTTTAGCAAATTTAAATAGTCGCTTTGAAAGAGAATACACATGAATTTTTGGTCCCCTTTGCCATCTTAGATAAATACTCTTAAACATTTTAGATCGCATTTATAAATTTAATATATTTTATTTTCTTTTAAGAACTATAATTGTCTGAAAAATTTTCTCAAGTATCCTGAGTAAATCTTTTAAAATCTAATAAATTAAATTATAAATGTGACTAAGTACTCTTGTGTTCCAAAACTGTCTATAAACTAGTACGATTTTTACTTATTATCACAAGTATAAATTATGTACTCAATTTATATATTTTAAAATTGGAATTATAAAGCTGAGTATGATTCCATTAGGCCAAATTCTCTTAAGTATTATAAAAACTGTACTTTAAATGCTAAGTTTGGACAGATTCCTTATCACCAAAACTTTAATACCCTCTTATTTAATTTATGTTTTCCCCAATTACTTACTGAGCACCTATCATGTGCTGCTCATTATTCTGATCACTACACAGAACATGAATGATCCCTGCCATCGTGGAGTTTGTGTGGGAGTGAAGGCGGGGGTGAGAGACAATAAACATAATAATTAAGTTATA